CTCTGTAGCTCTTTAATAATATTGAACTATCAATTAAAAATTTTACCTGAAGCAAAACACTCGACCTTGATCCATTTCAATTCATCGCGGTTCATGAAGAATTTATCGATGGATGGCTTGATGATGACTGGTTGCTGACAGGTCAATAAGGCATTTGAATAGCAACATGGGTCATGGGGGCATCGAGAGAAAAGCCATCCACTTGCCGATGTTTGAGTGGCAATCTAAAAGTAAAATTTGAATATGATTTAAAATTTCTTATTTTCAAAACTTAATCAATTCAAATTCATAATTTTGAAGATAGGCAAAGCAAAAGCCTTTAAAATTTCTCAAAATAAAAGTGAAATGACATAAATCGAACCATGATTTCAAGGATCTGGATGCTTGAATCGAGCTTGAGTTCCACAGCCATGGGGTTACCAACACGAATGTAGTAAACCTAAGTTTAAATATATCTAATAAGAAAAAGTGAATGAAAGCTTACGGGTTTTTCACCATGAAGAGTTTTGTCTGCAAAGGGACGGTTGATGCGCAGCTAATATAGTATATAGAACCATAAAATCATAAGCGTAACCAAAAAAGTGTCTTTTATATTAATCTTCAAACAAAAAAAACCAATGTAAAAGTGGTGAAAAGAAAGATTATAAAAAACCCACGAGATTTTCAGGTGTTGGATTCATTGCGAAGAGAATGAGATGATTCAACAAACCATCGGGGCTCGTTTTATATCTAGCTTCAATGTAAATTTCCGAAATTTAAATGCAAATCTTATAATATTATAAAGGTTTGTCTAAGTATATATACCGCTCGTGATTTCCAAAATACTTTTTGGATTTTTCGAGCACTTCTCTTAATATTTCTCTCTCAATACTTCACTTCATCTTGCGAGCACCCTTCAGTACTGAACCCTCTGAGGGGAGTCAGAGAAATCCCTAAGGGAGGTTAGGGATAGTACAGTACTAAACCATTCAGTACAGCACTGAACCTTTTAGCACTAAACCCTTTGAAACACTGTGAGTATTAAACCTCTGAGTACTGAACTCTTCAGTACCGAACCCTTCAATATTGATAATTTGTAAAAATAATTTGACTACCGGCCTTTGACACTAGAAAAACTTTTTTTCCACTGATCAGATTTTGATTCTTGAATGCGCAAAAAATGCGTCATGAATCAAGCTTTCAAAATCTGAAGAAAGTTTGCGAAAAAGTTAAAAAATAAGAAAAGATCTGTAATTTTTCCCAAAAATTTGCGATTCTTTGGTAGTTTTGTTGTGTACTTGAGGCGACCCGGTAATCGCGCACGCTCTGGCACATATTCGGTAATCCTTGCGTCGGAGTGGGCGTCGGCGAATCGAATTTATCGAAAATCCGAAACATTTTGAACTTGTTTCATCAATGTTCCCGGATAGCCCTTGAATTGAGCTTTCGATTCCGACCCCACATCGGTAGGCTAGCTTCAATAGGTCAAAAGATCTGGATCATTTTCTGTAAGTGGTGATTTTTGATTGATTCATTGATTTGATTGATTGATGAAAATAGATCAAAGATTGATTAAAAATCAATCAAAATCAATAAAAATCAATAAGAATCGATTAAAATGGATCAAAAATCAATAATAATCGATAAAATCAATAAAAATCGATCCTCGATCCTCGATAAAAAAAAAAGAGTCTGGGGTGGTCAGGGGATAACTCTTACTAAAAGTCATTACTAAGTCATTACTCTTACTAAACTAAGGATGGTACCTTCCCTGAGGATTTTCAGGTTTGGGGTAACATTCTTTGGGGTAAAAGGTATCACTCTTGCGGGCAACTTTTGGACTGTGTAAGAGTGTAAGAGTGTAAGAGTGCAATCGACGGCTGCTTACTATCATTAGAATCTACATAAAATTTGAGCAAAGAAATGTAGAACTTGTTTTATGAACTTACTAAAAAAAACCTAGAGAAATTTTTGGTCAAAGTTCACCTACTTATCTGAAAGGGTCGATTCAGTTAAAAGGTCTATAACTCAAGATGTAAGAGTGCAATCAACCTCTGCTTACTATCATTAGAATCTACATAAAATTTGAGCAAAGAAATGTAAAACTTGTTTTGTAAACTTACTAATAAAAACCTAGAGAAATTTAGACCTTTTAAATGAATCGACCCTTTCAGATAAGTAGGTGAACTTTGACCAAAAATTTCTCTATGTTTTTATATTACAGTTTACTAAGCAAGTTATAGTCTTTGATAATAGAATTTGATTAGCTACATTTTAAAGCCAACCGCAAGTCGATCCGTTAATCAGAAGTGGAGATACAAGGCAAAAGAGAAGAGTGGTCAAACTCTGATTCTCTACTCCCCCCTAGATAAATGTCTAGGGGGGAGTAGACACTTACTCGACTTTGACTCTAAATTTCTCTATGTTTTTATTAGTAAGTTTACAAAACAAGTTCTACATTTCTTTGCTCAAATTTTATGTAGATTCTAATGATAGTAAGCAGAGGTTGATTGCACTCTTACATCTTGAGTTATAGACCTTTTAACTGAATCGCTATATCTCAAACCTTCATCTCAGGAGATAAAGGTTCTACGATGACTTTGCCCGGGGCATAGTCATTGTAGATTCTTCTATTCTATGATGACTTTGCCCGGGGCTGTGTAGGAATCGAGACTTTCAAATTACAAACAAAGTTACAAACAAAAACAAAACAAAGCCTTTTCAGTTGTTCTTCCTTAGTGTACCTGCGACCGCTTTCGCGGCGTTCGTGGCTGCAAGAAATGATCGCCTGACGATGCCGATTCGGTTTATTTTTCAATAAAAGCTTTAAATATTTAAATTGCTGATTTCTATTATGTTTCCCTTACATTTTGGTAAACGAAATTTGATAAAATATTGGAAAAAAAGCTTATTGCAAGATGTTTCGCATGAAAAATCCCTAAAAAAGAGTACCTAAGAATGCTGGGTAAAAAGGAAATCGATTCCATTCATATTTTCTTTCAAAATATTCAATTGTTTACTAACGTAATCTGCTTATTAACACGATTCATTAAACTATCCGTTTCAGATTATTAGCGACCTCTGAAAGCATCAATAAACTTCTTGATTCACTGACACAACTGCCGCCTCTGATGTGCGCCGTTGAGTGGCCATTTCGGTAGGAAAGACAAATCTCCTTCCAATTCAACTTCAATGATAACCCCTAACTATTTTAAAGATGTAGCGAAACTGCCTCGTCCACACTGAACTCAATTCAATCATTTGCCAACTACTATCTGCTATTTGAGATCTCGCAGTGCTGCCAATTGCTCTTATCACTTAGGTGGGCATCGGTTTAAGCAGGGTTGGTTCTGGAGCCTTCAAAAGCCTTCTGGAGGTCAGGCCAAGCCGGCCCAGACCAAAGCCCGTATTCTCCGTTTGCAGAAACTTTCTGCTGGAAACTTTTGCTTATTAACCCGGGTATTAATCACGGCCGGATTACAATAAAAAAATTTTAAGCCAATCTTAGGTTATTATAGTTTAATATTGCTAATTTTATTATAAAAAAAAGAATAAGAATAGAGTGATTTGATGGGTTTACAAATTTTTGAAGACGTTGCAAGGCTTTGAGGAAAGTAAGATCGTCACTCATCAGCCACCTCAGCACTGGCTAAATCGATTGAGTTTTAATTGCGGATAAATTTGAAAACAAAATAAAAAGCACAAAAAGTACAGTAAAAATAGGTTGTTAGTACAATAGTATAAGCGCTAGTATCATTCTTTCTCTTGCTCACTCTCATCTTCGCTCAAGTACAACAGTTCCTCAAATCGGCTTCCTATCTGATCAAGTACAGCAGTTCCTCAAATCGGCTTCCTATCTGATCAATTTCCCGCCTATTCTCCCCAGAAATCACTAGATTTCCTCCACGCCTTCAGCGCTTTCATTGACACAATTAGATCTTTTTTCCATTTTTGATCAATTGCTTTTCTTTTGTTTCGTAACATAAGCTCTCTTAGCTTTCGAAAAACAATGGTAGCTAGAGTCTACTTGGTGCTTCTGCCTTCTGATTCAACAATCACAGATGCTGGCATTAAGAAACTTATCACCTTAGTTGAAAATGTTCAAGGGCGTTTCACTAAAAAAGCATACACTCGTTGTTTCCCTTCTTCTCTTATTCCAAATTATGAGACTAGACTTATAGTTTTTGATTTAAAACCCCTTATATATCGCCGTATTTACTTTAATCTTATTTTTTGCTATAAAATTCTTTTCCACCCTAAGTCGCATCCAGAATTTCAAAGCCTCTTGAAAATTGTGGAAATTTATAGAATTATTGTTTCCACAATTAATTAGCAAAATTAAGTTGAGTTTAAGAATAAGACTTTCTTATGATTAGTCAAGTTTCTAACCTTTGAATAGGGTCTAAAAATGATTCTATCAAGCTACAAAAAAGGTAAACTCTTTTCAAGAAAAAAGAATCTTTTGGTTTCTCTGAAGATCTCAAAAAGAGGACAGTTCGGTGATTGTTAGAAAATAGAAAAAAAGTACAATTCAAAATTTAGTCAAAAAACCAAAAGGTACATTTCTGGTAGGTGATCGAGTCCGTGTCTAGTCTGCTCAACGAAAATTAAGTGCTTTAAACGGGAAACTTAAAAGAGGGGTGGCAATAATCGTGGCCTATTCTCATTAAAAAAAAATTTTTCGAGAAAATTCATTTAATTCGTGTTTATTTGTTAGATTTTTTTGATAGAAATGATAAAAATGAATTGGCAAAATGAATTTAAGCTCAAAATAGAGTTGATTCACATTTAACGTGGCCTTTTTAGGACTTTTTTCTGGATTTTGTATTTTCTCTTGGTTTTTTGTTGCTTTTATATGTGTGATAAAAGTCTTATTTGAGGTTTTTTTTTTTCAGACCTAAGAAGCATTGATTTATTTCTAAAGCAAACCAAAAAAGTGATTTGTTAGTTGTTGCAGTACAGTTTGGGTACAGTTTGGGCAATAAATTTAGGTTTTATTTGTTTCGGTATTTGTCGTTTCAATCTGTCGCCAGAGAAGCAAACTCTGCTCGAAAAATCGCTTCGTTATCAAGTGAAGTCTTATTCTTTTTTGTTTCTAAATTTGTTTCCACATTTAAGTGTTCAGCTTTTTCAACTTACTGCTTGAAATTAGTGCATGCAAGGCTTTCATCAAGCACAGTAGATGCTCGGCCGTGATTCGGGCCAATTTCTCAGGCAATATATCGCCTGGATTCAGCGATTCGGTGTACACACCTCCACATTCCAAATCGATACATAGAGTACCGGTTTTCTCGAGATCGTTCTCCGGTAAATCAAGAGCGATATAAGAGCGATCCGTCTTGGGTGAAGGTTTTGTGACAAAGAAAAAGAAATGAGCAACACAAGTTCTTTTTTCCTTTAACTCACGCAAACAGTTCAGAATTTCGTCAATGTCCTTTTTCTCATTTAAAAGACTCGCTTTCTGAGAAAGTAAACAAAAGCATTTATTAAAAGTTTGATACAATCGAAGATGATCGATGATCTCAACAGTCGCACATCGATAGTATTTGATGGAAGTTTCGAGTTTTTGACACTTTTCCTTGCAAAAGCATTTGTGCTTAAAGGGGATTTTGGTTTGAAATACGTAATTGTTTTGGAAATGATCAATAATTACACTTTTTGGGTATTGTTTAAATGAAAGTATGACAGTGGGTTTAAGGAATTTTACTTTCGTAAAACCATCTAATACAAAGTTTTTAAGTGATTGCCACCTTGAGGCTTGATAGTCCAAATAACTTCGCACTTCTTTTAACGCTGAGATCAACTGCTGTAAAGTTATTCTCATTGAACTCGAACTTGTTAGCTCTACATAATTTGGACAAGAAATAAAGTATGTTTTTTGGTTGATGAACCGACCCTCATATCTCATCACTTCAAATGTTTTTGGGTCAAGAAAAAGTTTCTCAGTGCAAGAGAGTAAGTAAAGTTGCGTCCCACCAAAATAGGAACCATCATGAAAAATGGAGGCACTCAACGAGTCAGGGCCTCCATTTTTTTGAAGAAGCTCGACTCGGTCGATCAATGCATCGAGTTCCGTTTGATAACTTTCAATGAATGATCGCAGATCACTAATTCCCCCATTCTCTTCCTGGTACTTCCTGGTAGAAAGCTGATTTTCCCAAAAAGTCTTTAGATTTAAAAACGTCTTTTTAAAAATCGAATGCAGTTCCATATAATCATTTGCCATTTGATAGTTCCATTCTCGTAAGTTGCGCACGACTTTCGCTATTAGCTTGCTTGAAGTAATCTTTTCCTCGAGCAAGTCTAACAGTGCTTCGTCGAGTCGACTCGGAAAAATGGGTGGTTGTTCAAATAAGAAGCAATACTCAAAATTACTATCGAATTTCTTCTTGATTTCTTGTTGTAAATAGTTTGCATTCTGTTCTTCCCCCAAGTAATGAAGAGCGTTTTTTACTCCAGCTCTGGCTACTTTTTTATCAGCTTCTCTCTTGATTTTTGTTTCTAAATGAGGTTGAGGGAGTAATGTCGTTTCCAATTTGTCCAATTTCAAGTTGTCGAAGTTCGAATCCGCGTTTGTTTGTCTATTTCCTAATGATAAACCGTTAACTGATGGCAGATCCCATGGTGTTAGATTGAATTCTTCAAAGAGTGGGATTCTATTTTCCGTTCCATCAAATCCAATTGGATGTAAGAGCGTTCTTTGTTCAATGTCGTCAACAGGGTAAGCATTGTCACGAGTGTACATCTAAATTCGTGATCATTTCCACGTTGAAAACATTTCTCAAGTAGTTACCCGATTGTGCCGCTGAATCTCGCGATATACATCTTGAGGATTCGGTCGTTTTTCATAATCACGTTGAGCGCAACTAAATTAGCAATGTTACGTTTCCGATTACAGAAAAAAAAACTTTTACTCACGATTAGCAAAATAAACAAGCAAGTGTACTTTTCAAAAATCCTACTGTACTTTATAATAATTTCACGGATTGGGTGCTGACAATTCGGGGCTGAAATCTCAGCAGTGTCCTCCCGAGATTCGGCAGCTGAAAGGTTCGAAAAAACACGCCTAAAAACTTTGTAAAATGCTCTGAAAACAGAAACAAAGTAAAACCTCCGCTCAATAATTTCCCAAAGAATTAGTCCCACCGCATACAAGTCGCTTTTATGAGTGACCTTAATGGGTGATGTATGGGTGATTTGGGAAACGGATTGTAAAATGTTTTTGTCTTACCTTCATAGCCTGAAAAATGCCGGCAGCCTCAGGACTCATATATAAAGGAGAGCCAGCGTTTGAGAATGTGTCTGTTCGACTAGCTTCCCGAGCACTCCCAAAATCGCCGACCTTTAGTACAAAGTCCTTTGTCACAAAAACACTGAAAACGACACGGCTCTTTAGTGACTCGATTGGCTTAAAAAGATCGGGAAATGAAAAATGTTAGGCACGTGTTTTAGTCAGTTTGCAATTTTTCGGTTTGGTTTGGTTCGGTTTAAACCGATGACTGGGTTCGATCGGTTCAGTTCAAACCCGTTCGAGAGGCTGATTGGAATCAATTCAACATTCTCAATCCAACCGAAAACATTGTGATGCTGACGGGGAATGATTTTGAATTGTTTATTATTATTATTATTATTATTATTATGGAAACCGTTGGATGAGTTCGATTGGTTTGGTTGGGTTCGGTTCAAACCGAAGCCGGTTTAGAACCAAACCAAACTGATCAAACTGAACTGATACCCATCTCTACTACCACATTTTCAGAAGAGCTCGTCACAATGACGGTACAACGGTGCATTCTTTAACCTGATAACATCCTTTTTAACTCTAGAAGTCTCATATTAAAATGCCACCGATTTTATAGTTAAAAATCGGTTATATTTTAGAGCAAAATTCATTTAAAATTTTAACTTTCAAAAAAGTTATCGACCAACTTATCTGGTTTCAAATCCCGATGAATGATCCCTTTTTCGATGAGGTGATCAAGAGCCGCCAACAAATGCTCTGCCCATTGCAAAACAGTTTTCATACTGTAAATGATCGACGACTCCCTCAACACTGAAATTTTTATATAAAATTTATTTGTTGAAATTTAATTGCTAAAATTTAATTGCAAAATGCATACCATGTTTTAAGGAATTCCTCTCACAGTATTCAACAAAAAGTACAAAGAATCTTTGATTTTCTTCCTCTTTCTCTTCATGACCGAAAAGGTAGACAATATTTTCGTGTTTCAACACTTGCAGAGTTTTCCATTCTTTTGTACAAATGTCGCGACGAATCCGGTTTTCAATGGGGTAATATTTAGCTGCCACTGGTCTGAAAGTTATAAAATCGAATAAGTATTTTTAAATTAGCTGTTCATAGAGAGAATTTGATTCTTTTCCGTTATACATTCGCAAAATTTGCATTCCGTTCGGCCGACCGCTTGGCCAAGACCAAGATTGAAAGCGATGATTGAACACATCGAGCCAGGAACCCAATTTCACTCCGATTGTTGGCAAGGATACAACACTCAACAGATGGAGTAAGCCGGCTTTACTCACAAGTCAACCACAAGTACAACTTCCTGAATCCGGATGACCCTGTCATTCACACCGATCGAGCGTCTATGAGGATCTGCCAAATGGAGAAACAAGAAGCATTGCGGCATGGCACTTTATCTCCTATACAAGGTGCGCCATAATTACCCGCACAAGATATTCAAGGCATTTCATACCAAAATTCTATACCAGAAAAAGAATTTTAAACTAAAAGAAATTTATTGAACAACAAGAAACAAGAAAAGGAGAGCCTATTCAATATGTTCTCCCTTTGCTTTAATAATAGCCTTCAAGTGATTCGGGTAAGACTCCACGGCGGCCCGAATGTGACTTTGCGGAATTTCTTTCCATGCTTCTTTCAAAGACTTCTTCAAAGCGTCCAAACTTGTGTGTTTTTGAGAGCAAGCATTGACCTCTAAGATACTCCAAATGGAAAAATCCATTACGTTGAGATCAGGTGAGTTCGGGGGCCACTCATTGGCGGTGATCACGTTGGGGAAATTGGCTGAACACCAGGCTTGAACCGTCTTCTTTGTGTGCACCGTCTTGCATAAAGGTTCAATTTTGATTATTATTGGTTGTGTTTGCGCAATGCATCACCTTTTTCTTTAAAATTTCATTCAAATAATAATCGCCATCGATTTTCACACCCTTTTCAACGAAAAACATGTCGGTCCGCGAATCGGCAGTGACTCCGGCAAAAAACATCACGGATTGTTGATGAGATGTTTTCTCGACGGTGCTTCCAATTTTATCAGCATCTGCAGAGCTATTGGCGAGTATCCAATCATTTTGAGCGTTGTGAAATTGCTCGATCGTGAAGAGTTTTTCATCCGTAAAAGAGTTGCGGGATGTTGAGCACGAACGGCCCTTGCGAGAAGCGTCTTGCACCGATCGAGCCTTTTCTTTTTCTGAGGGTCGGAAATCGACTGCTTCCTTTGTAATTTGTACGAAACTAACTTCAACTTCTCTCTAACAAGTCGTCTCATTGAAGTTTCGGGAACTTTTAGATCTTTTGCTGAGCCTCGAATGCTCTTTCTTGGATTTCGTTGGATTCGTTTCTTGACGATTTTCTTGAGCCTGTTGGTCGTGACGGTAACTTTTCTTCCTGTTCTTGGACGGTCCTTAAGCGTTCCAAGTGCGATAGCATCATAAACCGTACGCCGAGGCAGTTTGTCGGGTGTCGGGTGGAGAAACGCCCTTTTGATGAAGATCGAGTATCGCCCCTCGACCGATGGCTTCACCATTTTACGTTCACTTAAAAGCTTCAAATGATGAATTACGAAATAAAACAGATAGAAGAACTACAAAAAATGTCCAATAAAAAGAGAGGAAAAAAAACACTTTTCACAATGTGGGCCTGGCTATGAAATGTTGTGCGGATAACTATGGCGCACTCTGTAGAGCTACCTCGCTGAATTCATGTCCGACAAGAAGTAGGAAAGGACGATTTCTACGAATGGTTGTTGCAACAAATTGCTACGGCATGGATTCCTCATTCATCTTATTTTGATGTTTATCTTTTCAATTATTTATTTTTGATTTTGATTAAATTGATCGATTTTTGATTAAATGATCAGGGGTTATTTTTGCGGATGTATAACGGAAAAGTACTGAGAATTTTTACAACAATTATTTTTTTTTAAAAACATACGGCTCTCGTTCATCTTGTAAATAGACTCTTGCAGTAGCACCTTCACCGAGTCTCTTTTTGGTTTTCATTTTTAAAAACTTTAAAATTTCTTGGTTTCTTATCAACATCGAGAAAGAAAGGAAAGCTCCTTTTCTTTTAATCTTCTTTTCAAAGAGTTAAGCGCCTAATTCGAAGGCTTTCATTCGCTTTCTTATATGAAACTAAAATGCTCAAGTTTTGACTAAAGAGAAAACCAAAAAATTCTCTAGTCTAATAAGTACCTTGATAATTAAAGTAACAAAGGAAATCCTTAAGCATAAATCACAATAAATTTGTTTACATTTCAAGATGTAAAAGTGAGCAACTTTTGAAACAAAAAGCTTTTTATAGAAATAGTAATAGTAAACGCTATAATTGTTGCAACAAGGTGTCACGCGCGTTCAAGGACAATAAATCGTTGATTTAAGCTTCATTTCTGGGTTTTTTGTGTTTTTATTATATTTGGAATATAATTGAAACATTTTCATATAAAATGTGTTGTTTTTTAGAATGGCTGAAAAGTCCCCATCGACAATCGATCATCGAATTGCACAAGCGAGGGATCTCAGCGCCGGAAATTCATAAACGTCTTACAATCGACAGAAGGGTCATTTTCCGCACTATTCAACGCTACAAAGCTACGGAAACAATTGCTGATGCATCAAGAAGCGGTAGAAGCCCAACTGTCGTCACAAAGACAAACGTCAAGCGAGTGAGGGACCGAAGTCGGAAGAAGCCAAACCAGTCGGCAAATGGCAAAGAAGATGGCGATTTCAAGCACTTCATTGCGTCGAATCCTCAAAAATAAGCTCAAACTTACTGCTTTCAAGAAAAACAAGGCTCAACTTCTTTCGAATGCCGCTAAAAACAAGAGAGAGAGAGAGCAGATCGGTTGAGAAAGTTGAGAGCAGAGTATTTATTGATGCGCTTCAATGAAATCGGCCATCATCTTCTTCACAGATGAAAAGATATTTACCGTTGAAGGCCTTCTTAACAAGCAAAATGATCAAGTATATCTCAAATCTCAATCGAATGCTACGGTTCCTCGAAGTGCACACCCAGAAGAGCTCGATCCAGCCTTTTTGGTCGCCTTTTTGGTTTTTGGTCGCCGTTGGCGCCTTCCCGAAACGCCTGGCCGATTCGAATTTGATAGTTCATTTATAATTGTTAATGTAATAAATGTTATTCAGTTAAAAATTTGTCTTTTTTGCTCTTGTCTGCCTTAAAATCAGCACTTTATCTTGTTGAATTTTATCTCGCCAATTATGGCGCACCCTGTATATTAGGGTGGCAGGAATGAAATCAGCGCTCACATATCTTTCCAAAAATAAAAAGGTTGAAGCTTCAGCCAATAAGCACCGTATACTGTTCGAAAGCCCTGAATCTCCTCTACAAAATAGTGCAAAAAGATTTTGAATTGGATTGATTATTGGGGACTTTGGTGTTAAAAAGTAATCGCCGGCCGAGTCTGAACCTGGAACTTGGATTCTCATATCTCGATAGAATCTAAAATCCAGAAGAGCTCGATCCAGCCTTTTTGATTGCCACCATTGACGCCTTCCCGAAACGCCGGACTGATTCGAATTTGATAGTTCATTTAAAATTGTTAATGTACAATAAATGTTATTCAGTTAAAAATTTGTCTTTTTGGCCCTTGTCTGCCTTAGAAAGTTCTGATTTTAAGGATGTTATTAGGTTAAAGAGTGCACCGTTTTATCGTCAGCTCTTCTGAAAATTTGGTAGTAGAGATGGGCATCAGTTCAGTTTGATCAGTTCGGCTTGGTTTTAAACTGGCTTCGGTTTGAACCGAACCCAACCAAATCGATCGAACTCATCCATCGGTTTCCATAATAATAATAATAATAATAATAAACAATTCAAAATCATTGCCCGTCAGCATCACAATGTTTTCGGTTGGATTGAGAATGTTGAATTGATTCCAATCAGCCTCTCGAACGGGTTTGAACTGAACCGATCGAACCCAGTCATCGGTTTAAACCGAACCGAACCAAACCGACAACTTTCAAACTGATGCTGATGCCCAAGATACAGGATCATCTTGTTAATAAAACACGTGCCTAACATTTTTCATTGCCCGATCTTTTCAAGCCAATCGAGGATAGATTGAAACGACAAATACCGGAACAAATAAAACTTATTTGTTGCCTAAACTGTACTTGATACGGCAACAACTAACAAATCACTTTTTTTGGTTTGATTTAGAAATAAATCAATGCCTTTTTATACCTCTAAAAAAATATTATCTAACTTTTTCGATCTTTTAACGGCTTCTACAATTTTTTGTTTCTTTTAAGGAGCTGCAAAATGAAATGTGTAGAATTCGAATCAAAGGATGTAGTCCAATGCTTATCGTTAGTATAGAAATGTCTTGGATGCTACAAGAATTATAAGTAAACTGAAATATGGAGCCGGTAGCAAAGGCATTTATAGAACGGTAAAAGGCACTTTATTTACTTTAATAGCTTTTAAGGGCGCTGTTATCCGCTTGGAAGTGTGATCTCTTTTGTTGTCGTTCCGAGGTTTCTTTTCCACGCTGGAGGGTTGGCTCCTTCACTGGTCTAAAATTATCATATAAAAATGAGGAAACTTTTTTGGGAATAGTTTTGAAAAATACAAAGAAAAATATAAAAATAGAAAATCGTCAATCCGATAATCTTATTGCGGGGCTTTGGCCCGGTTCTTTGGGCTGATTTATTCGATTTGCGCAGTCATACGATAATGGTACAAAGTCGGGTTCAACAATCGTTTCAGTTTAACTGATTGAAACGACAAATACCGAAACAAATAAAACCT